CAATAACATACAATAGATTCAAAGTCAAGAATAAAGAAGTTACAGGAAAGACTTTTATGAACGAGAAAGATACACTTGAGGGGCCATAAATAAGAGTGTCACTAGTACATCCAATAAGGAATTCAGGGACACTTCTCTATTCAGGGGGTTAGAATATGGAACTTACTACTACTGCAATAATAGGCAACTAGAATTGATGAATTTAAGCAGATACTGAGCACATGAAGAAGCATTAACACTGGTATAGACCAATTGGGCACAAAGGCCTATTGCTGTGTTGTACATCAAATGCAATGAACAGCTGATTGTTAAATTGCAAAGCAACGTATACTGCAAAAATCTGCCTCAAATGCCTAATTCTGTTTCTTTTGGAAAGGGACTCCTGTCCGTACATATAGTGAAACTGTAGACTCAGAATAAACAACGATGGAAATGTTGAATATAATTCAATCACCTGATGTCGCTGTGGTCCAACTGCAGCCATCCAAATGCCCATGCTGACATCTTCACCCTGCAGTTACAGTACAGACCAAAGTGTTCCTCACACATCCAATACTTTCTATATATAATTGCTTACTATGTGAATTACACAAGTTACCTTCATTCAGCAATTCTACGCCTAGAAAGTTTTGGACAATATCAACAAATGTTAATAGTGGAGATGAACCTTCAAAACAATCTTTGAAACATTCCCAGAAGGACAAGGCCAGATACTGCATATGACACCATTGCCTTTAACTCTCACCCATTCTGACTTGGAAATATATCCCTTTTCCTCCATCAATATTGAGTCAAAAACACTCTGGATCTAAAAGCACCACAAGTGTAATTACTCTATGTTCTGCAGCAGGTCAAGAAGGTTCAGTACTTACTTCTCAAGGGCAACTGCAGATAGGCAACAAATCCTGCCTTTGCCCATATCCTTAGATGCCATGAATGCAAAAGCCTGAGAGGTTAGATCTTAGCCGAGAGAAAAACTGTCTATAAAGAACAGTGTTCCTCAGATTTTTGGTCTGAAAGGGTAAGATGTAAGGGATGTTGCTCATTCCCATCTACCATGCAAGAAATGCAGTAACATTAAGGTTTTTCTTGTACCATTAAAATATTCAGACATCATTCTTTCAATTCAAAGTTCTTCTCTTTATCATTTTAGTACCTTTGATTTTCTTATTTTCTGTGACATTGAGATGTGGTCTGCTGGGAGGTTTTATAATGTAGCAAGTAGCATCCCTACCTCTGAGCTCAGAATCTCCAGGTTTGAGACCCCATCCATGGCGTGATGGCCAAAGAAGGTGTGTTCGTGTTCTAGCCAAATAGGTTAAGTATTAATCCGCAAATACACCACTGGCAGGTGGCAAGAGCAGGAGATATTCCTGGTCAGTCATTTGTTGGTAAAAGCATTAGAGACTCTACCATCTACCCTATCCATAGTTGGCAACATACATGTAAAAGTGCATATTGCCACAATCCAAGTGAGTTGCAATACACCTGCACCAAGATCTGGAGTTGATTGGGTAGTTAGTTAGCGAGAAACCCATTTCTCTGGTAGGACACTCTAGAACAAGGGAACTAAAACTATAATTCAAGTTGGGTCATTCAGAGGTAATGTTAAGAAACATTTCTTCATACAAAAAGATATGAAAATCTGAAAATCCGCCAAAAACATGTTGAGGCTGGGTTGGATGAAAGGAGCTGGTCATTTTAAATTTTCAAAACTGAGATTGCTAGATTTTGATGGACAAGGGCATTAGAAGTTACAGAACTAAGGCAGATATTGATGGAGTTAAGATGCAGATCAATAAAGTGATGAAATAGGCTCAAGAAGCTGGATTTCCTCGTTTTCTTCATATAATGAGGGGTTTGCAGAGTACTCACTCAGTTACTGGAGTTGGTAAGAGGAGATTCTAGTTCATCAATAATACATCAGGTATAGAACATTCAACATAGAAAACGCACTGGTAATCTCTCCTTCAGTAAATTTGTAATCTGATTCTGTAAATGTTGGAATTACACAGGTATTTATGCTGAATTTGGAATAAAACATTGTCAGAAGCTTAGAAGCAACACTGAACCTTACTTCTGCTGAACAGCTTCTGCGCAGTACAATATTGCTTTGTGGAAACAAGGTTTTGTGTAATTGAGCAAATGTATCCTTACAAATTGTGAAAATGGTGTTTTGTCAGGGTAGGGTAATACCCAGCGGATTGCTACTTTATGTCCTAAACCCCAGAGTGGGGTTGGGGTACTCATGAACTTGGCCAGTCTATCTGCCATTTACTCTGGCAGAAAGCTAACATTAGAGAAAACGCAGGTTGATCATTCTCTGCTTGGGAAGTGAGGTCTCCCAGATTGATAACAAAAACCTTCAAACTTCTTGGAAATTGCTTTTTAGGAAGCAGCATAGGAGTCCATGAATTTGAAAAATGCCACGCATTGCTTTTTGAAAGGCTTATCCAATTAGTCTCACTCCCCTTGGAAACAGGCTTAGAAAGTGGAGTTGAGGGAGAAGATCAACCATTATCTTATTGCTTAGTGGAGTTCAAGGCATAATACAGTCCACTCCAGCTCGTATTTCTTATGTGGCCTGCTAGGAAGGATTATATGACTTTGAACCTCTGGTTCCCATAGCTTTTAACTAGTTCTATCCTACCTGGGTTAGTTGTAGAGTACATGATGGAGATTCATTGCTATGATCAGTTAACAACTTTTATTATATTATGCAACCAGCAGAGGAACTACATGGACCTTAGGAATTGCTAAGACAAAATTTGGCTATATTAGTAAAATGGATGCAAAGTAACCAACAGCAATATCCACAACCCAGTTAAAACCCACAAAGTGCCCAATACCTGATAGACTTTTAGTGTCTTGGCATTCTCTGCTAGCCACTGAATTAAGTTGTGAGAGACGACATAACCAGAACCGCATGCAAAATCCGGATAGACCAGACTTGGGTACTCTAGCTCCATCCACTTCCCGCTACCATCCACTGCCCAATTCTGCCTGAAACTGAGGAAATCATTCATGGAAATAAATGAATATAGGGTTTTTCTGAACAAATTAAAAACACAGCTGCAAAATAATGCTGTAAATCTGCAATGGAAACAGAAAATACTGGAAGTACGCAACGGTGGAGAGAGAAACATGTTTAATGCTTCAGTCCAATGAGTTACCCACACAATTGGGAAGATACTGCTGATTAACAGCTTCTAAGTTTAATACAAACTTGAGTAACAGCAAGTCAGACACTTTTATATAAGCCTTTCAGCCTTGCTGTATGAATTTAGTTATTAGAGCTCAATTGCCCACTTCGACTTGGACATTCTGTACCCATTCTGTAACATCTCCCTCAGATACATCTTTAATTATCATTTACTCTTCTCTTGCATCCATTATTTTTGCCTTTTAATTCCTCCTGCCTTACACCATATCAAACTCCTTCCCTTTTAATCTTTTCCGCCCCGTTCCTCTGCCCTGTATTTGGTTAAAAGCTATTACATTTCTAACATCTTTCCAGTTCTGAAAAAGTAATTGACCTGAAGCATTAAATGTGTTTTTCTCTCTCTCCGGATATTGCCTCACTTGCTCAGTGCTTCCAGCGTTTCATGTTTCTATTAACTTATTTCGTCATTATTACTCCAAAGCACCACATATTTTGTGTTAAGGCAATTAACATATCACATCATATTGGACTGGTTTTCCATTTGGTACTTCTCAAATTCTCAGGAAACACACTCCACTGAAATCAAGTGGTGAATGTCCTCTGACATTTCATATTGAGATCTGTCAAGCTGTCTTTGAACGTGAAAGCACTTAGATAGGGAGGGATAGCATGACAAATAAAAGAAAGCAGCAACAGCACTCGAGTGAAACAAGTGAAGTTAATCTGCAGCTAAAAAAGAATTTAGTGCCTAGCTGAGGAGAAGGGAACAAAGGAGAGATCACATTTAAGGAAATGTCTGAGATAAATAAATGTGACACAGACTTATGCAAAATAAGTCCCAGGAACTTCTGGTGAGAAAAAGTGGCTCATCAGGCAAGTTATCTAGTAATTCAGATAAACAAATAGAAAATGCAGTGACTTCAACATGCAGGCAGCCAGATCTTCAATAATAGCTATACAGAGTCAAATTATATAACAAATTTATGCAGTGCAAAAGGCCACTCAGCCTATCATTTTCATTACTGCTCTTTGAAAGAACCATTTGAATAGTCCCAACACTAGTGGCACATAGTCCTGCAAATCGCTCCTTTGGAATGACAGAAGATGAACTGCTTTTATAAAGCTGTCATAAATACACAGATACTGACTTTCCCCACCACACATTCGTAGCTCCCAGTCTCTCTCCTGCTCTCTCTAGTACTGCCCGCACATCGACATAACAATCATCATCCGTTTTTAGTAGGAGCTTGAAGCTCGTTGACTCCACAGACCTGTTTGTGAGATAAAAGCAAGATCAGAATTCATGATATTATCAAACAACTATTCAGTAGGGTGTGTGTGTTTGTGTGGTGTCTGTGGGTGGTGTGAGTATGTATATATATTCAACAGAAGCTCCTAAACCACATGCTCAGCTTCCAATTTCAAGCGCTTAAATTACCCAAAGAAAAGCTCAATCAGAGTAACATGATTAAAAACAAAGACTTCAACTTCTATGATAACAAGGTGTAGAGCTGGATGAACACAGCAGGCCAAGCAGCATCAGAGGAGCAGGAAAGCTGACGTTTCGGGTCTGGACCATGCCCTCAAGATGCCTCAAAGCCCTTAAAAATGAAGTGCTTCCTTTGGTGTAGGTTCTGTTAGAAGATGGAAAACACTGGAGGCAATTGGCTTACAGATTTCCACAAACAGCCATTCAATAATTGATCAGATATTGTTTCTAGATGTTGGTTGAGGGGTAAAAATTGGTCAAGTTTCTGGGGAGAAATTCCCTGCTTTTATTCCACACAGTGCCATGTGATGTTATTTATCTGCTGAGAAAGGATAACAAACCTCAGTTTGAAGTCACATCTAAACACTGGCACCTCCAATAGTTTGCACTCCCTCAGTACTGGCATTGGGAGTGTCAAGCTGGATTTTGTGCTCAAGTCTCAGAATTGGGGCTTGAAGCCATGATTTTCAGATGCAGAGGTAAGAGTGTGTCCCTCTGAACCGCAAGTGACACAAACTGTGAACAAAGATGAGGACTATCTCTTACCACTGATAAAACTGAAGCAACTTGTGCGGCACATTTCTGTATGTGTCTATCACATCCACAAAAACAATATCCTGGTAGGTTTGGCTTTCTTTTTGTAAGTTAGCATCTTCTTCCCTGAGCTTATTTTTGTGGTTTTGAAGCCGCTTGGGCCTAGTGGTGAGGCTTTCCAGGAGAGTAGCACCATCTAAAAAAGATGAGTACAGTGACATAATGAATCTCTTGTAGAAATCATCGTGTCATTAAATTTCAGGCAAGTTAACATGGGAAATGGGGTGTTACAAAGTGTCAAAAAACTCAAACAAACACTCTCTCACGCACAGACAGACACACTTTCTCCCATGCGCACACACACTGTCCCATACACGCATGGACACCACACATACACGCTTTCCCCAACACCCTGCCATACACACACACTTTCCCAAAATCCACCCCCGGCACACACACACTTCCACTCCCCCCCCAGACACACCCACACATGAACTTTCACTCCCA